GACCAGCTCAGGATCCCGCCGGCGGATTGGCCGGCGGCGGTGTGCATCCGGTCGAACAGGCTCTTGTTCACGTACTCCAGGAGGAGGAGCTGTTCCCCTATATATGTGTTAGACGACATAGTCAAAAATCAAAAGAGACTATTTAACTCAAAATACAATCACTATGATTGAAATTATATATCAAATTTCTTATAAAGCAATTAATCTCAATAGTTCGGATTGTTGGAAAAAGTATATATATATATAAATTTTAACCGTTTATATGTGCTTTTCAAACCAAAGTCAACTCATAGATTTATTGTTTGCATAGATCTACTATATCATGTATTTTGTAATAACCAAATGAATTGATCTACATGGACCAAATCCAAATCCAACTCAAATTTCAAATCAATAAAAGCAAATTGATTATATGATCATATTAGTCAAATCACTTAATAAACCAAACGATTGTCATCCCTGCTTCATTCAACAAGTGAACTCAATAACAAAACAATTCTAATACCTTTTTCAAAGCAGAAGCCCAACAAGGCGACCAAGTTCGGGTGGGAGATGCGGAGCAGGACAGAGACCTCGTCGAGGAAGATCTTCCGGCTGCCGCCCCGGTCATCCATGACCCGCTTCACCGCCCCGAATTTCCCATCCCCGAGCTCCGCCAGGTACACGTACGACGTGGCCCCGACCCCGATCCGGATCCGGAAATCCCTCGTCGCCAGCTTCAGCTCGTCCAGCGAGTAGGTCCGTACGCCGCCGCCGGAGCTCCACATCCGCATCATCGCCTTCTTCTTGCGGTAGCGGTGCTGCCGCTCCATCTCCGCCAGGTGCTCCCGCCGCACCGCCTGCTTCTCCATGTACTCCCCGACCCACCGCAGCACCATCGTCACCGCCACCACCATCACGATCGCCCCCAGCATCCACAGGCCTCGCGGGTTCGTTGTCGAGAACCCAAATAGCCACATCCAAATGTTTCTTCTCTTTACCCCAAAAAAAAAAAAAAAACAGAGCTGTCCTGTGTTGTTGATTGATGGTCGAGGTGGAGATGGGGGAAAATTGCAGAGACGGGGAATTGAGGGGGGGTTTTCGAGATCTTTTGTTGTTTTGTTCCTTTAGTAGTACTAGTAGTGATTGAAATGATGAAATGGAAAAGAATTTTGAGTATTTTGTGTATGCAGCTGCGATCGGGCATAGCTCTGGAGATTCTTTGCTCTGGAAATTTTGTTCTCTGTGTTTATTATGTATTCCGATTGTGGTATATGATTCATATATGCCGAATTCTGTGCGTATATGCGTACACCTGTGAGAGCATATGGATATACGCGCGACTAAGCATTGTATTATTGGTGCGATGTAGAAATTATTGCTTGAATTGTATTGAGGATTGTGCGGTATCGTAATACAGAAAGGTAGGAAGACAAAAACATCGATAAATTACACTGAAAACCACGGCCATAATTCTAGGATTATGCGGTAAAGTTATAAATTTGATGGTTTTATTTTATTTGAAGGAATGGTTATGTTTGTCATCATGAAATAAAAAACTAATAGGTGGGTATGAAATAAAAAGCGATTTGAAATTGATGTGACGTACATATTAACTTGTTGTTAATGTTCTCAACAAAAAATTTAGTGTGGTTAACATTTTTAAAGAAAATGGTTATATTTACCTTACAAGCATTTCGAATATGAATATATTTGTGATTATTTAAAAACACATTATAATGACCAGAAATGTTAAAATTATAATTATACAAAAGTTATTTTTCCTTATTTTTATATCGGTTCAGTGATTAAGGCAATCCGATTTATTCAATCTGCGGGATGGCAATGGGTCGGGTCGGGGGCAGATAGTGCATATCCGTTACCCTACCCAATATAGTTCGGGTTTTACCCATACCCGTACCCACACGAGAAAAGGGTAGAAAATCAAAACCATGCCCATACCCGTTCGGGTTTCGGTATCCACGGTTATCCATGGGTAATAATTTCTCCTTATAATTCCAACCAATATGTTAACATTCACACGTATACTCACATTACGTTAATTAGAGGAAAAGTACGACATTAATTCACTAGAATGACGAAAATTAATTAAAACAACATAACTTCATGAAAATATTATATTTATATACTAAATATAAAATATTATAGAGAAACATAATGATTATTTCTAGACAAACTACATATGCATGTGTATAATCGGACGGGTTCGGGTTGGATAGTGAGATAACCATGCCCACCCATTACCCGCAATATTCGGGTTCGGGTTTTACCCGTACCCATGAAAAATGCTTCGGGTTCGGGTTTTACCCTACCCTATTAGGTCGGATTCGGGTGGATATCCACGGTTACGGATATTTTTGCCATCCCTAAATCTGCCGTACTTAGTTTGATTAAGGATTGTAAGATCGAATGTACCGAAAAAATGGATATAACCACAACTCAATCGTTTTGACACGGCTAAACACGATTAGTAAATTTTTTCAGTCGGACCACAAGTAAAATAAGGTTTCACGAACACTTAATCCGATTTGCTAACCTCATGCTTTGGCTCAGTTGTGTTGTTGATCTTCTGGTGTATTTTTCCCTTTCTGCTCTTGGTTCCCCTTACACCCATCTCCCTTTTCTTTCATTTTCAACATAACTTGCATTCATTTCGGTGTCTTGAAATTTTGTACAAATTGCTTTGCACAAACAGTCAGATTTCAGGTTTAAGGAACAGGTTGAGTTAGTTCCATTTATCAAGATTCAAGAGAACCAAAAAAATAGTCATCCGATCTCTCGACATATCACGCTCTCTCTTGTTTAACTTGCTCTTGCAATATAGGTCAATGTCATGTTGAAAGAGCTGCCAGAAGAAGAGTTTGGCCCTGGCATCAATATCAGAGAGTACTCTTTCCTTGACAATCCTTCACTGCCTAAACAAGTGAGTATATATATTTGCATTGATGACGCCAGTCTTAGACCAACAGCGATGCTTTTCCATCACTTCAGTTGTTGCTAAGGTTATTTATTTTGGGACACTTGTAGGTGAAAGAGTCATGGATTGATGTCCAAATCTGTCAAGAAGGCAGTCACGGTTGCAATGCTTCCAACACACCACCAGGAACGCTCAAATTCCCAAGACAAAGCTATGAAGAAATGGTACTTTAAGCTTCTACTCTAGCGCTACGACTTTCATATTGTCTACTCCACTTTCCTTACAGATTCTCTTCGTTTCCCGTTTAACATATTTCATCTCCACATAACAACCATATTTGCTTGCCTTTAAATTTTTTCCTTTAGAAAAATGAAGCTGGTAAAATCTAAAATATGTTGTGTGAGACATTCGTTTCAAGTAGACGCAAACATCCTTTTCCCCCCTCACCATTGAAAATTACTTGGATGCAGTTTCGGACAACATTCGATTGTTTCAAAGATGTCAAAGTCATTCAGTTCTCTTCAATGCAAGATACATTCCTCGGTTTTACTGACAAGGCAAGAAGTTCTCTTTTACCCTCACCTTGATATATATTACGACATGTACTGGGATGAGAAACCCGATTGGAAGCCGATCCCACCATTGACGCCTGAAGATGATCACCCAAATTGGTAAGAATAACTAGGCTAACATCAGCCCCAATACACTTACTTCTTGAGCATTTCCCACTGTCTGGAGTCCCTAGCAAAGTGGAACCCGGATCATGTTGAAGCAGTGCCACAGGCTCAAAGAACGGGTTCACTGAGGCAAGACTTGACTAGGATAGTTTTTTTTTTTTTTGGAATTTTGGTCATTGCTCTTACGGTAACACATAATGTCAAAAGTGAAGAGATCATGTAACCATGGTTAATAGTGTCAAGAACCAGTTGATTCCAATAACTCGAGTTGTTGGGAGAGGTTCAATCGTGGATCTTATACCACTCTCTAACACGCCCCCTCAAACGAAAGCCAACCCATGGGCTTGAAGTTTGCACAGGCCCACCATACCATGTGCTTGAAAGACAACGGTTAATATTGGGGGTCGTGAGGACTTGAACACGTGACCTCACGGACAACCAGCTCTAATACCATGTCATAAACCAGTTGGTCCCAATAACTCGAGTTGTTGGGAGAGGTTCAATCGTGAATCTTATACCACTCTCTAACAAATAGGCTTGGAAGGGCGTTGCGTATTAAGCAGTTCACTCGTGTCTTCATTTGTGCAAAACTTTTGGTGCAGTACAGTAGAGATAGTCAGGGCGATGTATTCTCATATTTGTATCCTTAGTAGGCGAGTTTTGGAATCTTTCTTGTATGGCAACGAGTCGCGGCGGATAGTATATATATTATCCTTTCCAAAATAGTTTGGGTTTGATGCATGAGTGGAATGAGATCGACGATTAATTGAGAATCAAGATGGAGATTGCGCTATCCAGTTACTAAATATATAAAGCAAGATTTTGGTTGTTAGAAACAACCGTAAATTTATGTTAGTTAACATGTTACATCTTACATGGTAGTATTTTCACCAAAAAAATCTTACATGGTAGTATGCTACCAAGTAGCGACGGAACACCGACACGACAGTCATAAATAAGAAAAAGTAACAGACGCAGCAACGCGGCGAGGAAAGACAAGAAATTTCCGGCTTGCCGCAACCAACGGCGAAGAAGTAACGGTGTATCCATGAAGATTACGATCCCGTCGGAAGGTTTTCTATGATGAGGAGGACGACGACAAGCGGCGGCGTATGGGCGGTTGGGCAGCGAAGCGGAAAGTAGCTGCGAGACAGTTATATCTAGTTAAACCAAAACCTAAGGCCAACGATATCAGAACGCCGCCGCCTGCGCGGCGCTTCTTTTACCATCATCATTTGTCCCCAAACACAGCTACTCAGCTCCCTGGTGGAAGTAATCTACGTCAACTCTTTCGACAAGGCTACTTTCTCTTCAATGCGGGCATTCTTCTCCCGGAAACTAATCCGGGTAACTCTTTGCTTCGCAGTTCCTGTGTCCACTACCATGCCTCTCTTCTGTTCGACGAAATGCCGCAACCAGCTGGTGGACGTTTGGGAGATGCCACCATCGTCCGCGTTTCCCGACTCCTCAAATTGCCAACCGCCGTAACACCTAACGCTCTCACGGCCCGTACGGCACATGGATTGGCCATCAAGGTAGGCGCTTTGGGCCACTTGCCCATCGTCACTTCCCTTCTCACACTCTACTCCAAAGTTGCATACTTTGGTGCGTCTCTGGCTTTGTTCGATGAGGTTAACGAGAAAGATGTGATCCTCTGGAATGCAATGATCACAGCTTCCATTGGAAATTGTTGTTTTTCGCACGCCGTGGAACTTTTGATGAAGATGATTGAGGTAGGACATGGTTTTGATTCCACTACCCTGTTGCTTGTTGTTTCTTCCATCTCCTACTTGAAGAACTTGAGCTCCGGAATGAATATTCATGGTTTGAGCATCAAGTCTGGGATGCTCTCGGATCCCAATTTGTGCAATTCTATAGTGGACATGTATGCAAAATGTGGGGATGTCAGCTCCTCGGAGTGTTTGTTCCGGGAGATGAAATATCGAGATGTAGTTTCTTGGAATTCCATGATGACTGGATTTCTGCGTAATGGCTATCCAGAGATGACTTTGCGGTACCTCAGAGAGATGGCTCATTTTGGTGAAGTAGCAGATGATACAACTCTGTCATGTGCCATATCAGCATCTGCTTCTCTAGGCTGGAAGAGTTACGGAGAAGCTATCCATGCATTGGGGTTAAAGTTAGGTTATGACCATGTATGGCATATCTCAGTAGCTAATTCTTTGATTTCACTCTATTCCCAAGCTGCAGATACTGGGGCTGCTGAGGCTGTGTTCTCGGAAATGCGTTCTAAAGATATTGTGTCATGGAACACTCTGATTGACGGGTTTGGTTCAAATGGAATGGTTTGGGAAGCATTTTATCGATTCCACGAAATGCAGTTGTCAGAGGCTGTTCACCCTGACTTGGTGACTATGGCTTCTTTGATTTCAGTCTGTGCCAAATCATTGCTATTAATAGAAGGTCGAACACTTCATGGATATGTGATTCGTCAACACAGAGGATCTGATTTGTCCATTGCAAACAGCCTTATAAACATGTACTTGAAGTGCAAGCAGGTAAACAAAGCTGAGATTTTGTTTGGTACAATCCCAACAACGGATCTGGTTACTTGGAATACAATGATCTCTGGATACTCTGAAAATGGATTCTTTAAAGAAGCTCAATTATCATTCCGGGACCTGCTTCGTCATTGGTATTCAGGTTTCAGTTTGTCAACACTATTGGCTATTATTCCTTCCTGTTCTTTTCTAGGAGGAATCCAGTTTGGTAAATCAATTCACTGTTGCCACTTGAAAACAGGGTTCTCAAACAACACTATTGCCGTGAACTCTTTGATGCACATGTATATCTCCTGTGGAGACTTCAGTGCTGCTTTATCATTGCTGCAGAGTATCTATTTGATTGCAGATGTTGATAGTTGGAATACAATGATCGTAGGGTGCACCCAGAACTGTCGATTCCGTGAGGCCCTTAAAACTTTCAACTTAATGAGGCAGGAAACCTCCATCAACCCTGATGCCAGTATTTATGTCAATGTCATTTCAGCTTGTGGTAATCTTGAGTTGGCATTGGAGGGGAAATCTATTCATGCACTTTCTATCAAAACTCCAGAAGGGTCAGATCAACGTGTGCAGAATTCCTTCATTACCATGTATGGAAGATGTGGGGATATTGAGGGTGCCAGAACTGCATTTGTTTCAAGCTCAGATCACAACTTGTGTTCATGGAACTGCATGATCTCCGCTTTCTCTCAGAATAAAGATGGTAGAGGAGCAATCGAGTTATTCCGCTCTATTAATCTAGAACCTAATGAAATCACCATCGTCGGTATTCTCTCTGCCTGCACACAGATTGGGGTACTGAGACATGGGAAGCAAATTCATGCTTACACAATAAGGAGGGGATTCCATAGCAACTCCTATTTATCTGCAGCTCTAGTGGACATGTATAGCAATTGTGGAAGACTAGATACCGGGGTCCAGGTGTTCTCAAACTCGGGGGAAAGGAATGTCACTGCTTGGAACTCCATGATATCTGCTCATGGGAACAATGGTGAAGGAAGAAAAGCCATAGCTCTTTTCAACGAAATGTTGCGTTCTGGAGTTGTAGCAAACAAAAGCACTTTTGTGAGCCTTCTTTCTGCGTGCGGCCATTCGGGACTTGTGGATGAAGGAATGTACTATTATGGGTGCATGTTGGAGAAATATGGGGTGCAGCCTACAGTAGATCATCAGGTCTATATGGTTGACATGTTGGGTCGATCAGGAAGGCTTGAAAAGGCTCTAGACTTTGTCATGCAGACAGAAGCCTTAGCGGAGCCTGGGATATGGGGAGCTCTGCTCAGTGCCTGTAACTATCACGGTGATGTCGGAATGGGAAGAGAAGTTGCAGATGTTCTCTTCAAGTTGGAACCTCAAAATGCCGGATACTATGTTTCTTTGTCGAATATGTATGTTGCAGCAGGGAGATGGAAAGAAGCGGTTGAATTGAGAAATATTGTTGAAGAGAAGAAGTTAAAGAAACCAGTTGGTTATAGTTCGATCGATGTCTGTTCTATGTGAGAATAAGCTCTGTTGCAGTGGGACTAGCCAAGTTGATTTTTCTGTTATTCCATGTGCCTACCAAGGCATGCCTCTACTATTGCATGTAAGTTGTACGCTGGTCCATTCAGTCTATCACTCTAATACTCTATCTAGATAAAATAGAAAGGAAAAGTGATGAACAAAACTGGACAAAAATACATTTAAAGTTCATTTGATTCAACTAAGTATGATCCAAATTCAGTTTTAGTCCGTTTTTCCTTCGTACTTGGGATAATTTGTAGAATTGAAATCAAATCAAAATATATTCAATCAAGTTCCATTATCGATTAGATTTAGATATAATGCAATATGGAGCACACCCGAACTACATGTGCCTACTTGGAAAACAAGCAAGCTCATTCAGAAACAAACAAACAAAAAATAGAGGAAGAAAAGGACCACATTTTCAAACCCGATTTATATAAGTAAGACACTGTCTCATGTATAGCTAAAATGAGAATTTAATGAAGTCACCAAAACTGGGCATGAAACTCAACTTCCAAAAACGCCATGCCCTTCAACAACTCCGACAGAGGCTGGTGGCCGCCTAACAAAATATGACACTCTGAGATGTAGGCCGAAAACTCTTTCAACATTACATTCCAACTTACATCAAATGGTTCAGTTACCTACTACTGCTGTCAATGAACAAACTAGCGGGAACAAGAAACAAGGCTTCTAGAGAACAAGTGTTGGATAACGGCCACTACTATGGATTAATTATAGCTCAAAACAGTAAGGCTCAGCAGACTCTTCAACTGAAGAATCGAGTCAAGGACCATGATTCAAGTTCTGGCTATATGATCACGAACGAATTATCTTGCCGCACAATCACTCCAAGCAAGGCCCTGAAATCTGCAATCCATCATCAGACAATGAGAGACGATGAGGAAAAGATATAAAAATGAAAGACTTTGAAGCAGCTTGCTACCACTTGAGAAAGTACTGATAACGACTCATATGAGCCAGTAGATGCATAGACGTCCCAGTCATCAATCGTCCAGGTAATAGTATGAACCAGCATGTTTCTGTTCTCTATCTTTGGTCGAGTCCAGCTTGTTGATCCTAGGCCTGAAATTTGTAGGGTCTCGCCTAAATGTGATATCCAAATGCTGCATCAAGTAGGACATTGATAAGTTTTTGTTGTCAATTAAAGAATTGTTAAAGAGAAGTTAGACAAACATAATGCAACCCTTGCTTGACCTCGAAAAATAGATAAGTGAACAAAAAAACTTCTCAGGAAGCTAGGCCTAATGAAACTTAGCCAACATTCTCAAGAAATACGAATTGGCAACTTCATAGCTAGAACAAACACAGAAATAAATAATAGAAGACTGAGAAGAGTTCTGATGCCCTTACAGATAGGAAAAGGTTCATCCCGGTCAGCAATGACTGGGGAGAATTGGCTATGCAATCTATAGATGGCTGTCCCTCATAAACGATCACTCTGTCGGCCAAATAAGTAGCCATAATAAAATCATGTTCCACGACAAACGCCGTCTTCTTTGCATGAAGGATAAACCTTTTTATGACTTTCGAAGCAACAATACGCTGCTCGGAATCAAGGTATGCGCTAGGCTCATCGATTAGATAAATGTCAGCCGGCTGCATCCAACCAATCAACACAGATAATAAATCAAATAACCATCAGGGACCATTGCATAATAAGAATATTATTTCCAACATAAGAATACATATAAAGTGAACCAACCCAGTTCAAACAAACATGAAGCTACCCTGTTTGGCTCACAGTAACTAAGCAAAACAGCCTACTGGACCAAAACAATGGAGGGTACAAAACAAGCATTCGCAAACTACCAGAAACAAAATCCAAATTCTATGTACAAAAAAAGGAAGAAAGAAACCAAAATCCAATAATCAGAGAGCAAAAAGAAGGAGTTCTCAGAACTATAATACAAGTTCTGTTAACATAGGAATAACACAGCAAGATCATGCCAAGCAACTAAGACTGGGGTTTATCAGCAGGAATCACCACAATTTCTCATATAATTATTGAACTAGAACATCTAATTTCGGAAAGCGAAAAAGAATCACCCATGTGTACAAAGCCATGGGACAGAAGAACAATTATCCCTAAGGTGAAGCGTCAATGACACTACAAACCAAATGCATTCAGAAGGTAAAGTCTAAGCCTCAACCATATGCTACCAAAGTAGAACTTCTTACCTTCCCAAGACAGAGACATAATGCAACTCTTTGCAATTCTCCTCCAGAGAGATTCACTACTTCTTGGTCCATCAGTTGTTCAATAAGCAGAGGTTTCATAACATCTGATACAAACTGGGGATGCATGTAAGAATCCCGTATCTTTGAATGTAACAGATTTCTAACAGTATTTTGAAACTTGGGACTGATCTTTTGCGGCTTGTAGGAAACATTAAACTCGGGTATCTCCACCTCTGAAGTCTCCACGTCATCAGGTTTAAGTAAACCAGCCTGCATGATTTATGGTCAGGGAACTTATTGGCAGTGAAATGGGATAATTCAAAAACTAAGAATGATATGAGCCAATGAGTACCAGCATCCGGATGAAAGTTGTCTTTCCTGTGCCATTCTCTCCCAGCATAACAACAATCTGAGAATCAGTGAATTCACCCTCCACGACGCGGAGCCTGAAATTTCCCTGGGTTTTGGACATTGTTGGGTACTTGTATCGTGCATATGTTTCAACCTCTTCAGCACTCTCCTGGGGAGTCTCCGCTACCTGTTAAAGGCAACCAAATGTAATGAATAAATGTAACAGAACGTTAGCCAAACTATTCCATGTACAGAATTAGTTAGGTTACCTTGAAGGTTAAAGATTCATCCCGAAATCTCAGGTTTTCAGTAGGAACAAATCCAGCCAGGAATATATTGATTCCTTCCCTAACGGAGAAGGGCAAAGTAACAACTCCATAGGCACCAGGTTTTCCATACAAGCAGCAGATGAAGTCAGACAAATAGTCCAGCACACTAAGGTCATGCTCCACAACTATCACAAAGCTGCAATCAATATTCAACTCGTATATAAGCATAACAAATGCTGGCGGACAACGAAAGAAGAAAAATAAAAGTAAGCAAAGAAGAACATGAAACCTATTGGGGCGGAGCAGAGATCTAACAACTTGGGCAGCTTTGAGCCTCTGCTTGACATCAAGATAACTTGAAGGTTCATCGAACATGTAAATCTCTGCACTCTGTATGGCAACCACAGCAATCGCAAATCTCTGTAGCTCTCCACCAGATAAATCCCCAACATTACGATCTAAGACCTGATTCAGATCGAGATCAGCGCAAAGCTCTGCTTTCATTTCCCTCTCATCTTTCTGATCAAGCACCTGTCCTACATTTCCTTGGACAGCTTTCGGAATGTGGTCAACGTACTGAGGTTTTATGATAGCCTGTTGAATAATAAACAAAATCTGAGAACCAAAAGCCTACTGAGGTCTAACACCAAAAACAAGTATGTAATGATCCAGAAGACTAAAATAGTACATAATATGATAATATAAATAGGGAGGTTGAGGAAGGGACTCAGCAGAAGCATGCCAGCTACACATTGGCTCTTGCCTCTCCCAAGATAGGATCATTTAAGATTCAGATTCTCCCTTTCCATTTATATGCTATTAGCAGACACAAAGGAAGAGTTCCAGAGAGGTAAAAACATAAATTGCACACTGAATGCCTAAAGACCAAAGACCACTGGAAGTCCTGGAGTTGCTCCACTGATAGGCAACAAACCTGAGAAAGTAAAGTCCAGCAATACGCTTCTAACACACAAGCAAAGAGAAATTTAGTATTGGTCTGTAACTGGTGGATGCGTTTAGGGAATGTACAAGCTAGACATTTAAATCAAGCTACTATATGTCATCTACACCATCCAAAGATTAGGATCTAGCCACTTCATCTCTTGTTAATACTCATAAGAAAATCGTATTATAAAGTCAACGAAATTATGAGCCTTGCTGGATATACAAAATAGAGATACCTTCAAATTATCTTCCAAGATACGAGTGAAGTAGTTCTGGAGCTCAGATCCTCTAAAGTGCGTCAATATTTCTTGCCAATCTGGAGGGTTCTAAAATGAATAACCAAGGAAGATCCGCAGTGTCAGTAAAAAAGAACATCAAGAGGAGGAATCCTGAAAAGGATGTGCCAAAAATGTCATTATTACATTAAAGCGGCCCAGATTTGGCTTCAGTTTTCCAGCCAGGATCTTGATTGCTGTTGATTTCCCGATACCATTGGTTCCAACCAAGCCGAGAACCTGTCCAGGTCTAGGCACAGGTAACCTACAAACGTAATCATTAAGATTGTCAAAAAATGAAAACAATTAATCCACTAGATGCCCCTGGCAATTGTGTTTTCTAGTCCAACCTGTGCAGTTTGAATGTATTGGGACCATAACGGTGAGTGGTATCCTTCTCCAAATCCTTCGGGAGGTTGATGATCTGAATAGCCTCAAACGGACATTTCTGGATTGGCGGAAAAAAAATACCCAATCAGGCTAGCTGATGACTTCAAAGGAACAAGAAACTAAGACCAAAAAGTTATGCCGCTGAAACTAGGCAGACCTTAACACAGATACCACACCCAATGCACAACTCCTCAGAAATGAATGCTATCTTAGACGCAGAAGCAACCTCAATACACAGTTTTCCTGTTCAAAACAAACAACCCCGTGAGGGAAAAGTAAAATAAGAAGCTTATACAGGAGAAAGGACCACAAAATCTCAATTCATCATCTAAGTCGTTCCAATCGAAATCCACAAAAGCCAAAGTGACATAGGTTCTAGTGAGTATCCATAGAGTAATTGATTGAGCATGGAAATGCAGAAACCAAAAAGTGACCGCCTCTCCAATCTTTTGCTCGATGAGGCGGGATTAAGAAACCATAGAACCTGAAACACAGATCACAAAGAGAAGGGAGCAAACCAGTTTTCACAACAGGACAGCTCTTTTTGCATTCCTGGCGGCACTTTTTCGGCTTGCAGCGATCGGGAGTGACAATCGCGATTCTCGTCAGACGATCCGACATCTTCCCGGCGACAAATTTCCTCTCCTACTGCCCGTCTGCTGTTTGCTGCTGCTTTGCTCTCTGATAATCGGAAAACAAGCGGAGAAACGAAAAACCCTAATTATTAAAAAAAGAATAGCAAGATTTGCGGAGAGAGGGAGGGAGAAAGCTGGATAGGCAGCCGCCCTTACGCTGAAGAGAAACGGGCAGAGAGAGAAGGTTCGACGGAAAACCTACGGCTAACACACTCCTCCGATGCTGTTATTCTTATTGCTCCCCCTGGTCGGCCCGGACAGTTGAACCCGTTGAGTCTCGACTCGGGGCTTTGATCGGCTTGATGGGTCGTGGGTCAGAAACCTAAAAAAAAAAAAAAAAAGATTTTATCTCTTTCTCCTGGGAAAGGGAAAGAAGATTCTTTTCTTTTTGCAAGTAGGAAAAGAAGAGATTCTCCACTGCTCCTCCCTCGGTTGATTTTTGCCATTTATAGGGATCGAAAATTCTTTGCCGACACGGAATTTTTGTAGGAACCGAAAGCTGTAACCTGGTTAGGGGGTTTTCTTGAGTGTCAAGGAATTTTTTTCCTTTCTTGAATTGGTTAATAATCCTAGCAAGATTAGCAATTCTTGATTTCTAATCGTTGGATTAAATGAACTAAGGAAATCATTTAAAATGGATTTGTGTTATAGTCTCATTTCAGCTGCTAGAATACAGCACTGGCATTGGACATGAGAAATTCAGAACCGTAGTCACCAAATTATCATCCAAGAAAACCCATGAAACAAGAGTTCTTCTGTACAAAGATCACCCAGAGCTAGGACTTAGGAGGCCACATAAGCCCCAAAATATCAATCCGTGTTTAGAAACTTGATCAAATAGTATACCGATATCAGCCAACAACAACACGAGAGACATACATCATCAACTTGTATGAACTTTTATTGAAACGTAAGATGCAAAAAGGGGAAACGTATCGATATATATGTAGAAGCATAGTCGTCCATCCATGGCATCTCAAGTGCGTGTTCTTGATCATTTCCACTTCTTGAACTTGCCTCCACCGAACATCCCGCCCTTCCCATGCTTCCCGTGCTTGAACTTGCCACCATGCTTGAACTTGCCATGCTTCCCGTGCTTGAACTTGCCACCATGTCCATGCCCGTATCCACCGCCATAGTGAGCAACACCACCATGGCCGCCACTGTGGCCGTAACCGCCGCCGCTGTGGCTAACATGGTGAGCACCCATAGCAGCTGCAGCTGCTGCTGCACCCCCAGCAATCACTGCCCCTAGTCCGCCATGACCTGGGATCATATCCCCAATTCCCCATTAGTAATCAAGAATCAATAATGTATCACAACTACACAAAGAATGCTCCTTTTTACTACCACAACCAATTCCATGATTCAACTCTGTAATCTCCTACATTGAGAGACTTAAGATTTCAACCCAAACAAGGCCCTAAATACAAGAACAGAACAAGCAAGATTGACAGCAAGTTGGGTTTTGTCAGAACTGCAATTTCCTTGAACAGCAAGCTTACAAACTACATTTCAAATGGATGATCTAGCATCTGGGTCTAAACAGTAACATCTCGCATTACAAACAACACAATTGGTCAGCAAAATATATTCACAATCTTCGCAATTCACAAGCACCATCAATCACACACACATACACACGATTCATCATCTGCTAAACAGCCCTAAATTCCTAGTCAATTAACGATATAGAAGATCCATAAAAGACAGTAGATTTACCTGTGTGGTGAGACGATCCAGCGGGGTAACCAGCAGGAGGGTAACCCTGAGGAGGGTACCCTTGTGGAGGGTAACCACCCTGTTGCGGAGGGTAGCCGTGCTGTGGCGGGTACCCTTGCGGAGGGTAGCCACCCTGTTGCGGAGGGTAGCCGTGAGGAGGAGCTCCAGGGTAGGCGCCAGGTGGCGGAGGGTAGTAGCCACCTGGAGGACCTCCGTGCCCTCCCAAATGACTGAACAATCCCTTATCTTGATCCTCATTATGCTTATCCTTCCCACCTCCCATTTCTTCTTCCCTACAAGCAAAATTCACAACCCAGAAAAAGAAAAATCAAATCCTGCCACCAGCATCAAAGGAATGAATTACAGAGTTAGAAACCAGAGGAACAAAAATGAAAAAGGTCAACAGGGATTGTAGATCTCGTGTTGGGAGTTGGGTAAAAATGGGTCAGAATAGAAATCACAGAGACTCAAGAAAGACGATCGACATCGCTAGAATACTCACCGAGAGAGAGAGAGATTCTGCGGTTTCGACGCTGTTTCTTGTGTGATGAAGAATGAACGAGAGAGAGAGAGACTTCTTTGGCTTGCAACGCTGGGAATCGGAGAGGGTCTTGAACGTTGAAGTATTATTTATAGGCTACGACTAATTAGATGAAATTCGACGACGAGGACATGATCCATTCCATTCGGCCGAGTAACCTCTTTCTCTCTTGTTTATTAAGAAAAAGATAAAGACGGGAATAGTAAAGTAACAATAGATAAATGAGAATCAGAGAAAATAATAACGAACGGCTGCTCCTCCAGCTCCTAGCCGAGTTTTGCCACTCCACGCGTTCCCCTTACGCGGAATGGACGCGTGGATTGTTATTCAATAATCAATATTCATTCTTTTCCGATATTTTGTTTCTCTTCTGGTGGGCCTGGGCCTGGGCCCGGCGGGAGCATCAGAATCTGGGTCTTGTCCGTTTCCGTTTCCGTCCTTTTCTTTTTCTTTCTATTTCCGATATTTAATTAAACGAAAATGGTGATGATAAATGAAATTCTTGTTTTTGATTTATTCCAAATCAAGTAATATCTCATTTTGTAAATGTTTCCGTGTCCCTTTTTCTCCAGCCGACTGCTGCCGCTCGTTGGGTATTTTAATTCGGTCGATCACCTGAAAATAGGGTGGCTATACAGTCCGGTCCGGTTAAATTGGCCCAAATTGATCCGGTTCAGTCCGGTCTTTTTGAAAATATAAGGACTCGCTTCAAGAAGAGCTCGCTTCTCAATATTATAGGGACCGGAACTTGGATCGAGTAGTTAGGGATGGCATCGGGGCGGATCGGGGGCGGGTACCTACCTCCCGATCCCCGCCCGTCAAGACTGACGGATTTCCCCGTCCCCGTCCGCGCAGGTTAAACGGGCGGATTATGTCTACCGTCCCCGTCAGCAAACGGATCCGGGTAATCCACGGATCCCCACGGAAGAGGGGAGAGTGACGGCAGGTTAGGAGCGGACATGATTGGAGATGCGGGCGCGATTTTGGGATCGCTTAATTTTGGGCACGCAGGCATGATTTTGAGATTTCAGGAGCAGAGGGAGGAGGGGAAGAAGAGGAAGAGTGGAGAGGGAAGGGGAGGGGAGGAGTGACTGGAGAATGCGATCAGAAGAGAGAGGGGAAGAAGAAGAGTGGAAAGGAAAGGGGAGCATTCGGTCGAGCCGCAACAAGTGAAAGGGTTAGGGTTTTTGAACCTCAATTATTAGTTTATATATTGGTCCAAAACGACGTCGTTTTGCGGTATCGGGTGGGGACGGGGCGGATACCATGAGATCCATCACCACCCGTTGCCCGCTACTATCGGGTTTCGGGCATACCCGGATCCGCGCTTTACCCACGACTGACGGTTTTTTTGACCTCCATCTGGGCGGGTTTCGGATGAATACCCAGCGGGCCGGGTAGGGTTGCCATCCCTACGAGTAGTGACCATTTTAATGACGAAGCTCTTCCTGATAGATTCTCTGCATGGAAACTCTTAAAGGAACAACGAACCCCTCAATAATACAAGCAAGAAAGAAGACATCCATCATCAACATGGTTACATGGGGTCTCCATTATTATAGCCAAACCTTAACATATAGCTGGTTACCAAAGATTGAGAAGACCCAAACCCCCGACCCCGACCCACCCAAACTGCTATTAACCAGCAACACCATCTCTGGCACAAAGAAGGAACATCCCGCTCGAATAAGCACAGCTTCCCCATTTTCCAGGCATCATCATCACAATTTGAAATGAGAGTACAACATCCCGAGCATTCAAAGGGGACCCGCTGCGATTCTCCACAGCAGGATGCTCCAGTGACGATTATGAGAATTTGTGATCATGATGGTTCTTTCGATCAGCAGAATCTTAATGTAGCCTCAAGCTCCTCCTCATTCTCGCAGTTGTATCCGAGCATGTACGCCCTTGCTGCACAATATACAAGAAAATAATGATATCAGGCTTCTACATAATATGCTGGCCAATGCATGATAAAGAGTCAGCTCTGAGTACAATGTCGAGTTAATTCAATTACCAAAACGTCCAGATCCCATGAAAGGTTCCGCTTCATCCATCCCGCCAAATTGCTGCTGGTCCTGCATAATTCACATTCAGAGATAGCCCAAGTTAGTTTCGAGCACAAGTGAACTCTAAGGTATGACGGTAGATGGAGGTACATAGGTTATACAACACCGAAACATCCTCTCTTTCCATTTATCTACACAAAGCAAGATACTTGCTTGGCTGGTTCAGTGAAAACAAAGAGGAAAGGATAGGGCCTTTGCTCGGTTAAGAAGGAAGAATGTCAGTTGAAAACCCACAAATTATCAGCAGAAGAAAAGAGGAAAGCAGATGTCTTTAGATAGCCTGAACGCTCTGAAGTTCTAGAGAAAATACAAACTTTTATCTATGCAACTGATAAATAAGTGATGTCTTCATCAAATAGGGTCACATGAGAACAGAAACTGCAAGAAAAAGAGAAAGGTTAAGTGCTACTTAGTACTTACGGGCTCCGGCTCCATTTCAGATGGTAACAGCAGCATATCGGAACAACGTCCAGATATTGTACAGACCAAAAGCTCATTTGAAGGGTCAGTAATGACTTCTCTGCAGGTTTCGTCACACACTGCAAGGGACCAATTGCCCAATTAAGGACCAAAATCATTGAAGAAATGGACCAACAATGTATGTGGAACAAGGTAAACATCTTACCATGAACATTTCCAGTCTTCTCACATACAAACACATCCCCTATCTGGTAGTAAGAACATGTATTGCCTGAGCACCTATGGTCCATGGCCACATCGTCAGTCAAGCCTCGCGTGGTTTTCCATATAGATATCTGATCAGCAACTGTCTTGTCAAGTATTATCCGGTCATCTTTCACCTTCAACAAATAAATAGCCATAACCTTAAGCACTATAACAGTACAAGTTCAGACTCGTCCAATGATCACCCTTCAAAAATAAAAGCGAAATTATTTTTTGTTGCATGCAGGGACTTAAGCAGGCACTACTTTCCACAGTGTTTATGAAGGCACAGCGTTGCCATTATCCTTCGAGTATCTCACAAGGAAAAACGACACTACTATTCCCATCGGATACATTGAATCTCAAAACAGAAATCCTGTTCTGATACTATAAATTACACGTATAGAAACTGAAGCTTACTTCACTAAGAAGATACCAACTTCGATGGTTGAAGACCTTAGGCAACAATACCAATAACACAGAGCCTATTGTCTACAACTTGAATCAGCAGATGACAAGATACCCCAGGAAGAAGAAGTCCCAGCCACCTCCAAGGAAGTAGCATGTATCGATGCTACACCAGTCCCACACTAAAGATACAAACATATGGACCCGATGTAAGGTAGCAAGCCAAAGATCATGATTCCACAAACATCACCAATGCCTCATGCCCAAATATCAAAGACTGTGAAGTGCATACCCCAGATCAAAGAAACACAAAGCTGATTCACCTATATGGTTGACATTAGAAGGAAGAGCCCAATGCTCAAAACTATGCTCTAATAAAAGCAAACCGTTGGTTAATGAGCGACTCAATCAGTCCTATATGCAAGCTTAGCATGGCATACACAGGACATTGCAGATCGTAGAAGTTGAATTACTCAGTTGTAGAAAAACTAAAAAAGAAAAGGGTACCTGGGAAAATCCCATAAACATCGAAAGTGGCATATCAAACAAGAGCATGAAGAGGAACTACTCTCAATTAGGTCAGTCCCTCTTTCAAATAAAACTCTGGAACAACTTTGAATCCAAATAACCCAAAAATGTGGCATACAGACCCTTCAAACAATTTGCCAATGGAATAACAAAGTACTTCTTAAAAGAAGGGAAAGTTTTCAGAAATCTAGCAGTACCTGTGAAGGATTTGGTGTTTGGCTTCTCTTTGCTGCCTGCATTTGGACATAGTATCGTTTGAACTCAGGTGGGCAGTTACTAAGCAGATTTACAATGTCCTCTTCATCACGCTGAAAATTGTCAAGGCAATGCTTCAGCACTAATTTCATTTGCTAGATTCAATACTTCAAACAATCGCATGATGAGCAAAGCAGAGGAAAACAAACTATCCAATGTATTATCAACAGAAAAAGGGATCATAAACAAAAGAAACAAAGAGAACGAAATTCAACTGAATCTCAATTTTGCATTTACAAATGAAATACAACTTCATAATGTGTTGTCAGCAGGAAAAAAGAACTAGATAAATGAAGAGTGCAACCAAACAATCCCTACTTTGGTTCCTTGAATCAATGAGAACAGCAGACATCGAGAGAGACACAAAGTTTGAGAAGAGACTACCTGAATATAAAGCTTCTTCCATGCACGCTGAGATAAGTTCTTGGTGGGAGGCAATATACCCCAACGCATGCAGTACCTGCAAAATCCCTCACAGTGTCAACTCAAACGATCCAGATCAACACGAGACAGGAAAACCCAGCAGAAAGCTATGAACTTGGACAAGAAATTACTGACAAGCGACGCCACAAGGACTCATCAGAGGCAGCGAGATTCATGAATCTACAAACCCGCGAGCAAGATACAAGATCCTGTTGCCAAAGCACATATTTTTAATCTTCTATACATGTACACCGTCAGAAACCTAAAAAATGAGGGGATAACATTGCAAAAGGGGAAATGTAAATTGCTGACCTCAGAAGAAAGAAATTTGAGGATGTGAGGGAATAGCTCGGGAGGAACTACGCTGAATATCCCGCTCTCTATCCTTCTGGACCTGATAATCCTCCGTCTATCCCCATTTTCTTCGTCCGCTCGCTCCTTCCCTTTCTCTTTGCGAATGTTATCTTCGCCCTCATCGACCCGAATTCTCTTCGCTTTAGGCTGCGTTTCGGCCTCTACCTCATCATTACCATGAAGCTCCTTCGGACCCTCTGCTTCTTCCTGTAAATGTAATGACAATCGAAACCCTTGCCCTCATACGTCCTTAGAACATTTAAATTATTTACCCACAAGGACATCATTATCGGAGGTGGAAAAAATTAAAGGGAAGCAAGCGTTGATCGGAAAGGTGAATCTAAAATCAAACAGAGAAATACCTGATCGGAGAGTTCAGAGAGGACCTCGGATTCCAAGAATTGGGCCAAGCTGTCGTTTTCATCGTCCGATGTCGCCATGATTCAGAAGCAAAAGGACGAGGATTTGGATCAGAAGAAGTGAATTGGTTTGCCGGCGGCTGCCGTGAATTTGAACCGGCGGTGGGGAATCGGAGACCTTAAAAATGAGTTGTATTAGTAGCGGCAGTTGGGGGTTGGAGGAAGCGATAAGGTAAGTCATTCGATCGGACACTGGGGAAGAGTGACAGCGTAGATATTTTCACCGGGTCGGGTAAAATCATGTCCCGGTAAGTGAGTTAACCCGATAGCCCAGTCAAGAACGAACAACACAATTTAGGATAGGACCGCCGTTGTCGTATCCCTAGAAAATGATGGTAAACACAGACTCACCTGCCAAACTGGTTTGGATTGAGATTTTTATCGGGTATCAGGGAACCATGTGATTATAAATTAGACTTGATCAAAACGGGCCAAAACTTGAAATTCAGCATGTTTGACCGACCCATGCCAAATTCTAATTATTCTTTATTTTTAAACTTTCTATTTGAAAATAAAAAATAGTGAAAGAAAAGAGATGACTGCAATTCGCCATTTGCACATCACTTATTCGGGAATTAAACCATAAAAATTCATTAGGAACTGAAAATGTTTAGGATCGTTTTAATGTTTAAAATAACCAAATAAATCGTTCTGTTTAGTTTTTTACTAACAAATACCAAACGATTCCCGATAAAATACACTATAATTTGATCATTATGATATCAAATAATTATATAATATATATTTGAAATGATAAAAATTGGACTAATTGGATTGGTCGAGGTTGAACCATTGAATAACTTTAAAATACATTATATTTTAGCCACTAAGATATAAAATAATAGCATAATATATATTATGCCAGAGAAAATAACTTGTTTTAGAATGACAAACCAATGATGTTCATTTGTTTTACTTGATGGCCAAATCCCGTGTAGGTCAGGCTCATTCAACTCTTTTATTTTATGGTTAGCAGTTAGCCCATTAGATACCATGCATTAGTTTATTGTTAATTTTTTTTATTTTTAGCAATAAAAAGGAGTATTGTTTTTGCCTTTTCATATATATTTTATCACCACGGAGAAATAAAAGGGCTTAAAGGAAAAAATTGACACTCCTGGACCCGTTTAAATCTGCATGTGTACCGTAAGTTGGCCCGTTCCACAGAGAAAAGAGAAAAAAATTGTCACTCCCTATTCTACCCTTCCTACAAACGCTCCTGGAGCAGGAAATTTTGAAATGGGGGAAGGGTTTTTTCCTTCCTGCTATTATATGTTTTTAATTTAAAAAGATACAACAAATGTACTTAGTGTGATTGGTTATGATCCTTGTTTTTCTTTAAAATGGTCATGGTTCGAATCCCAGTACGTGTCTTTTTAATGAATAAAAAAAAGTAATTGTGAAGACCAAAATGTCCTTCCTACTTTCACTCTCGTTACAGGAAATTTAAAATGGAGCTCCCGTTTTTCCCTTCGGTGTATTATATTATGTGTAGATTAGAAAGAACATATAACGCTAGAGTAGGAGATCGCGGAAGAAGAGAAGAGTGCCCGACACGTGGAGAGTTTCAGTTTTCAGTATTGATTATGTGGCTTAGGGTTAAATTTAAAAGCCCACAAACTAAAAGAAAATAACAAAATCAGGAGGGAAAATGAGAAGATAACGGAAGCCAGGGATGGTGAAATAATAAAAAAATTAAAATAATCCCTAAATGCCGAGAAGTGCGGAGAAGCCTTCCAGGCTTACGTGGAAGGGGTGGTTTTTCCAAACCCCTTTAATATATTGTAAGAACGTATAGAACTACCTGCCCAAAGGGCAGGGTAACAAGCTAGTTTATCCATTAATGTTGTTTTGTTCCGCGTATGTATTTGCAATTGTGTAAATATATGAAAAGAAAACATATTGGGAACGAAATTTTAGAATATTTCTTATCAATATTTAAATTTGTGCCTACAAATATATTTGTTAGGATATCCGCAAAATGATTTTATTTGTGAAGATATTGCGGAAACATCCAATAAGTAAATGTCATAATTTAGTAGGTCATTTCAAAAAAGACGATAGAGATAGCAATGGAACAAATTGTGTTATTGGGAAGGTTAGGGTCGCATAGAGACGTGACTATGGAGTGGAGATCGATTCAAACAAAGTGATCTTAATGAACTCTGATGATATGACTCTTCATATAGGGTCAACCGTTGCATGTGGTGAGCATGGATAAGCTCTCTTATTGAGTGCATACTCGATGGACCTAGAAAAAAAAATACACAAGAGCTACGAGGTGTAGTAAGGGGCTACAGACGACATGAAATGCTTGACATCAAAAATTTGAACTATAACCAGATTTGACAACAGTGGTCCGAGTGCTCTAATTGACCGCCGACGCACTAGTCTTTGTTTCGGCCTTCAAGGAGCTTTAGAGAATAGATTTAGAGATTCAAATTGCTCACATCTACAAAGAGGCCAATTATATGGTTGATAGCACACGTATAGTATAAGTAACTCAATTCTTGGTTTTCGATTCTTTAAAATGAGAGCCAATTTAAATCGAACTTTCTATTCATAGTTTCATACTTAAACCATACCCAAACAATCTCATTCTCATATCCCATCCAAACCTACCCAAAAATGAAAACTTTGTCCCAAGCCTACTAAAAAAATTGTCCAATATCTCATATCGACTCATATACCCTACCCGTAAATCGTAATCAATAATATGAGTTGGGTTTCGATAAAGTTACCCATACTGGAGAATTATCACACCCAGCAGCAGGCAGTAGCAGAGAGACAATACGAACTTCAAAGAACTAATTATTGTCATGGCATCATCCACAAACAAGATCCAGATGCTACGCGATGAAGGATTTTTCATCCTATATCTCCCAGTTCTGCAACTATTAAGTTCCCCAAGAGTGACATGTTGAACTCCAAAGCGCGCCTCTATGTCAACGACGACGTCGGTTAGTGTCAAAGGACTGCGTTTCGCACCAAAGGCAAAACACATCGTTTCTTCAGCATACTATGTCGTTTCAAGATCATCGTCCATCGAAGTCTTTCATCAAGGATCCTCTTCGATGATCCTTTTTGGACTTCTCTCTCGACAAACCTTCTTCAGCTGCTCGACAAGCTTCTCGGATTTCATCAAGGGCGATGCTTCATCAAAGGCGGAGCCTCAAGCCTATCCCAGGATCATGATGACCATAAGTCGACCGTTCTGAACAAGTTCCTTTTCAGGGGTCAACAGGCCTCAACGGTCATTAAGGTTCTTCTTCTATATATTCTAGGGTTCGTAGTTCATTTGTTCTTCGGCAGTCTGTAATAGAAGAGTATAGGGATATCTTCTGTTACTTTGGGTCCTGTTATTGCTTCAGTAGAACAAATCACAGTGTGTGTGCTGGGTGATTTATTCTTGGGAAGTCTCGTCTGTTTGTTTTTGTCTTCAAAGAGCCAATTCGTTGGCTTGGCTCTTGTCGTGAAACCTTGTTGTATTGATCTTTCAAAAGTAAAATAAAATTGTTCTTTTCTTAGAAGCTGATCAGTTGAGAGTTTAAGTTACAAAGTTTAAGAAACTCCTCATTCTGAGTTTACAATTGGTATCAGAGCAGGCTCTTTGTTGGATTAATCATCACCAAAGAGGATCTACGAAATGACTGGGACGTCTTCAGCATCTGCGTCTTACTCAGCCAACACAAATCCACCCTGGTTCGATGGAACGGACTACTCGGTCTGGAAGAAGAGAATGAAGATCTATCTAAGGGGAGTAGATGGAGACCTGTGGAGCATTGTTCGAAAAGGACCTGTTCCTATGGATGCTAATGAAGAAGAATGGAAAGAATACCAGAAGGTATCTTCCCAGCTTGATTCAAGAGCGATGCACCTACTTTTCTCGGCCCTCTCACCAGAAGAAAGGAATCAAGTGGCACAGTGTGAAACTGCCAAGGAAATCTGGGAGGCGCTACAAACTACTCATGAAGGTACGTCTGAGGTAAAAGAGAGTAGGATTGATGTGCTTTTAAATGAGTATGAGTCGTTTGAGATGAACTCAGGAGAATCCATCTCTAGTATGTATAAGAGATTCAATGATCTAATAAATCGGTTAAAGGGTCTAGGAAAAACTTTTGCTGCAAAAGATTTAGTTAGGAAAATCTTAAGAAGTCTGCCTAGGGAATGGCTCCCCAAAAGAACTGCTATTGAAGAAGCAAAAGACTTAAATACACTATCAATTGAAAGACTAGTAGGATCTTTACTTAGTCACGAGGAAGTAATTACCCAGATGAACAAAGAAGATAATAGGCGTAAAAAGGTAATTGCTTTCAAAGCACAAGAGTATGATAGTGACCTAGAATATGAGATAAGTGAAGAATTTGAAAGAGAGTTTGCTCTTGTGAGTAAAAAGTTTCACAGAATGTTAAAAATGAAAAAGAGAATTTCAAGCAAATAGAGGTTATATAGATACAAGAAACAATGAAAATCGTTTTTCTGATAACAAAAGAGAAAGGGATGACAGATCAGTGATGAAATATCCAGACAGAAGTATGTTAAACAAGCAGTTTATGGAAAGAAAATCTACTGATAAAGGGTTAGAAACAAGGGAAAGGTATAAGGGGGATCAAAAGTCCCCCAGTGAAAAAGATCTAACCATCTGTTTCAAGTGTGGAAAGACAGGGCATATGCGATCTAGGTGTCCTTTAAACACTAAATCAAGAGAAAAGGCACTAGCAGCAACCTGGAGTGACCTCAGTTCAGAAGAAGAAGAGGAAGCAATAAATCTGGCCTATATGGCATTTGCATCCAAAAGAGAAGATGAGTCAATGTCCTCCAGCAGTGATCAAACATCTCCAGCAAGTTATCAGGTAATAAATGACAGTGAGTCTGAAAAAGATGAACATTTAAAACCAAACATTGATTTTCTGCATGCTTTAGAAAATCTACAAAATGAATGTAACAGACTTAGGAGCAAGTATTGCTTGTTAATGACAGACAATCAGGCTATGAGAAAGGAGATAGATAATCTAAACAGAACAATTCGTTTTCAAAATGAATGTCAAAATAAGTTAAATAAACAAATTTTCGAATTAAAAGATGAGAATCAAAAGCTAGCTTTGATCTGTAAAAACCACCTCTGGAAATCATCCTGGAGGGAAGATAATTTTAAAAAGCCAATAGCCAATTTTAAAAGTACTAATAAACCTCCTGAAAGCAGAAACAGCAAGTATCGAGTCATTTACACATGCTCTCATTGCAAAAGACAGGGTCATTTGGTAAAGTTTTGCTATGACTTAAAGAAACCTACTATGTATAGATCATTTTGGGTACCTAAGTGTACTAATCTATAACTGATTGCAGAAATTGGGAGAAAATGAGAACATATGGTTTCTGGATAGTGGTTGCTCCCACCACATGACAGGTAAAGAAGAATTATTTTCATGTTTAAAATATAAAAGGGGTGGTAAGGTAGTATTTGGTGATGACCGAGTTGGTATAATCATGGGAAATGGTACAATAGGAAAAAGTCCATTTCCAACTGTCAAAGACGTTTTGTTTGTGAAAGGCTTAAAGCATAACTTACTTTCCATAAGTCAATTATGTAGTACTGAAAACAGGGTAGTTTTTGAATCTTCATCATGTCAAATCATTAGAATTAAAGACAACAAGTTGCTGTTTAGTGGGATTAAGAAAAATAATATGTATGTTGTTAACCTAAACTGTCTTGAAACATTCAATGAAACTTGTTTTCAAGCCACCTCACATGAACTTGAGATGCTGTGGCATAGAAAGTTAGGACACATATGTCTCTCGAAATTGTCAAAATTGTCCAAAATGAAATCAGCAAGAGGAATTCCTGTTTTAAAAGAAAATCCAAAGTTTTTCTGTGATGCATGTGTTGGAGGAAAAATGGCCAAAAAGAGTTTTAAGACAAAAAGAGATATAACTACCACTGAACCTTATGAATTGATTCATATGGATCTTTTTGGACCTACAAACGTGGTAAGTCTTGGAGGAAAATCATATGCTTTTGTTTTAGTTGACGATTTTTCTAGGTACACGTGGGTTTATCTTCTTAGTTCCAAAGATGAAGCTTTTAGTTATTTTAAAACTTTTGTGAATCCATGAAGTCTGTATTTGAAATGAGCATGATGGGAGAACTATCCTACTTTCTAGGATTACAAATAAAACAAACATGCTCAGGGATCTTTATATCCCAAAGCAAATATATAGACTCCATGCTTAAAAGATTTGATCTAAATTCTGTAAACCCCTGTACAACTCCAATGGCCACAAATTTAAAATTAGACAAAGATAAATCAGGGGTACTAGTGTGTGAAAGAAAATACAGGGGAATGATTGGTTCTCTCCTATATTTAACTGCCAGTAGACCAGACATCCAATATTGTGTAGGCTTGTGTGCTAGATTCCAGTCTAGTCCAAAGGAAAGTCACCTTAAAGCTGTGAAAAGAATTTTTAGATATTTAAAAGGAACTACACAAGTTGGATTATGGTATCCTATTACTGAGTCATTTGAATTAGTTGGATACACTGATTCTGATTTTGGAGGAAGTCTTATAGATAGAAAAAGCACTTCAGGAACCTTACAATTTCTTGGTCCAGCACTTGTTTCTTGGTTTAGCAAGAAACAGGGAGCTGTTGCTTTATCCACAGCTGAAGCAGAGTACATGGCAGCTGGAAGCTGTTGTGCTCAACTAATGTGGATGAAATCTCAATTGTTAGATTATGGATTTGAAATAACTAATATTCCTGTTTGTTGTGACAACACAAGTACAATTAGCATGACCAAAAATCCTGTTCAACACTCCAGAACTAAGCATATTGAAATCAAATATCATTTTATTCGTGACTTAGTTCAAAATGGTAAAATACGACTGGAATTTGTGTCAACAGAAGGGCAATTAGCAGATCTACTAACAAAACCCCTACCTAGCGAACGCTTTCTGCAATTGTGTACTGAAATCGGCTTAAAATCCATGTGTCAGATTAAAAATCTGAAAAGTTAGATTATCTATTGGTTCCTTTTTGGCTCTAGGGGTTGCTTGTCTTGGTCTGTGTATTTTCTCTTCTTTTAGCTTTTATCTGCATGGTTTCAAGACAAAGATTGTGCATGCTGAAATGATTATGGAGCGGCTGACGTTTCATCTCCCTGTTCTCTTTAGATTGTCTTAGTCTATTTAAACAATCCTGTGCATCCATGTCCTTCTCACCTTACCTCACAACTTTCTCTCCATCTCTCAAACACATCATGAGTGATCATATTCCCAGACCTTTCCGTTTCGATGGCCTCGTCCATACCTTTCCTGGCTACATGTTTCATGAGCCAGTTGCCATCAATAACCATCGTCACCTTCGTCATTTCGAAAACAGAAGGCTTCATCATATCACTCAGTTAGATCCATATGAGTTCAAGATATATAATCTTGAAATCATGTCCTTGATAGAGGGACTGGGCTGGGATTATCTGCTTAGGCAGCCTCTGCACCCTGCCTGCCCAGGAGCTGTAAAATACTTCTATTCAAACCTCCGATCTCAAGGAATCAGTTCCAGGTGCTTCACTACAGTTGTGTATGGTCACCTTCTCACCATCCCAGTCGAGGCTCTCAATGCTATTCTCGGCTTTCCCTCACAAGGAAAGGATATTGCCCATCCTAGCGAGTTTTGGAAGGAGGAATTCAACCTCTGCGATGAATATCGCAATTTTTCAACTGAACCAACTGGTGGTTCAGATGTTCCTATCCCCGTCGACTGGCTGCATCCTAGGCTCAGGGTGTTTCATCACTTCATAACTCATGTCTTCTTCCCTCGTTCCTTCAATCTTGACAGAGTTTTGCCTATGGATCTCTGGATCATAGCCAGCGCCACTGCAAGGCGCAAACTCGACTTCTCAAGCCTCCTGTTCAGTCAGCTTCTCCCAGTTGGAGATGAAAATTATCAGGGTCTGCTGCCTTTTGGTTCCATTATCACTAGGCTACTTATCAATCTCGGAGTTGATCTCTTAGACTTTAGGAGTGTGTCCTCTACAATGTACGTAAGTGCATTGAATGTGCTGATGATACTGGGACTTCCCACTGAGATTCAAATTCCTCCTCAGCCACCAGCTTCTCTCCTGGGTCCTCGACCTAAACCATCCTCTTCCAAGAAAGCCAAATCTGCTGGTGAAACCAGCAAAGCCGGTGGAGATTTAGTATTCACCATTTCTGAAGGAAGTTCATCCTCCGAGGACTCTGCAGCCACTGCTCCCTAGAGCAATCTCCTCAGGGGGAATTTGTTTCATCTATAATCTCTCCTAGTTATGCTGTAGGGTCTTTATCTTTTGTCAGTGTGTTTTGTCTGGAGTAGTGTAGTTTTAAGTTTCCTTAGTATAGGGGGAATCTCCCTCTTATTATGTTGTCCTCTTGGACTGCTTTTTGTTCAGGATCCTCATGTGTAGGGGGAATCCTGTTTTGTCTCAGACATGCTCTTTTAAGACATGTTCCAACTGCTGTACCCTCTTAGCTTTCTATTAATGAAGTTTCCTTTGTTTTTCGAGTACTGCTGTTGCGTTTTTTTTTTTTTTTTAGGACAGACTTCTTGGACGAAGGGGGAAATTGTTGAACTCCAAAGCGCGCCTCTATGTCAACGACGACGTCGGTTAGTGTCAAAGGACTGCGTTTCGCACCAAAGGCAAAACACATCGTTTCTTCAGCATACTATGTCGTTTCAAGATCATCGTCCATCGAAGTCTTTCATCAAGGATCCTCTTCGATGATCCATTTTGGACTTCTCTCTCGACAAACCTTCTTCAGCTGCTCGACAAGCTTCTCGGATTTCATCAAGGGCGGTGCTTCATCAAAGGCGGAGCCTCAAGCCTATCCCAGGATCATGATGACCATAAGTCGACCGTTCTGAACAAGTTCCTTTTCAGGGGTCAACAGGCCTCAACGGTCATTAAGGTTCTTCTTCTATATATTCTAGGGTTCGTAGTTCATTTGTTCTTCGGCAGTCTGTAATAGAAGAGTATAGGAATATCTTCTGTTACTTTGGGTCCTGTTATTGCTTCAGTAGAACAAATCACAGTGTGTGTGCTGGGTGATTTATTCTTGGGAAGTCTCGTCTGTTTGTTTTTGTCTTCAAAGAGCCAATTCGTTGGCTTGGCTCTTGTCGTGAAACCTTGTTGTATTGATCTTTCAAAAGTAAAATAAAATTGTTCTTTTCTTAGAAGCTGATCAGTTGAGAGTTTAAGCTACAAAGTTTAAGAAACTCCTCATTCTGAGTTTACATGACACTCAGACGCTATCACCAACTGGATGGCAGTTGGTATCCCTCATCCAATCAAAATTCTCAATTTTCCATTGTGTCGTCTGAATTCCAACAACCTGCTTATGGACGAAACTCGAGCAACCTAGAAATCCTACAAAAACCTGAGATGATCAATCACCTCGGACTCGGAGGCTGACAGGTCTGGATCAGAGTTCAGAATTAAGAACAGCATAACAAGAAATCTTAAGTGAGAATGCAAACCTGAAGGTTCTAATTTATGAATCTCAAGCTAGATGCTCCAAAATCATTCAGCATGTGAGCAAGCACGAAGGAACGTGGTTATCCTAGCTCAAGGGAGAGGAGCTCCACGAAAATGTACCAGGACTTCAATGTTTGTTGAACACAAAACAAGAGTTAAAGATGCGGGTTTTGATAATGGAGATGGGTTTTTACTACATATGTTTCCAAGCTGGAACACCACTTCGAGGTCTTACGAACGGTGGTGGAGGCAGGCAGGCATACTTCAGCCAGATTTGACAAATTGCTGGGAGAGCAGCTTCGCTATTTCAGGGATACCAACTCTTTCTTTGCCAGCCAGTAACGCTTTCAGCTTATCTTCAGTGAAATTATCCTTCTTCATTCCAGGATTCTGCAAAGCAATGCAAGTGTTGGACTAATTCTACCATTTGCCCATCAAGCAGCCAGCTTGAATTGAAAACTGATTAAGCCACAACTCAAATCCCTCCATTCATCAATTATGACAGAAACCAATTATCATGCAAATCACGAGAGAATCTCACAAAAGCACTCTAAGAGACATTTTATCGAACACTTAGCCGACAGCTCAAAAGTTACAGACAGACTACGAAGAAAACAAGAGAAAGAGACGGGGAACGGACCTGGCGATTGTTGAGCTTGATAAAACGGGAGATGAGCTTGGAGAGATCGGAACGAGTGGGTTCAGGAATTCCAAGGAACTGACCCAACCGAGACGAAGAAGGTGGGGTGACCTTGGCTTTGATTTGGGAATTTACAATGCTTCCTTTCGATGCGTACGCCGGGTGCTGCACCAATGCCTTCTTCAACATCTTTCCTACCGCCATTGTCTCGCTTCTTCTCTCTGTCGAACCGCCGTGTTCGGTGGGCTTCTGCCGCCGCAGCTCAATTTTTCGGGTCTAAAAATATATGAGGCGAGACTCGGGCAAGACTCGGGCAAGACGTCCAGTCCAGTTCGCAGATTCAGTAGTTGTTCCAGCTGCAAGATCTAGAAGAAATTTTAGTGGTTCAGTTGGAGGTTTGCATACTCATCCTCTTAGTTCGGAAATTTTACATCTAGATCCACCTCAATTCTTTATTTGTATTTTCTTGGGATAATAGCACTTTGTACCCTTTTACTATTGTAAATTAACAAACATGCCCTTCTACAATTGTTTTGCACAAATATACCCTTCAACTACTAGCACTTAACAAACGTGCCCTTATGTTAAATTTTGTGTTTATTCACCGTTAAAGGGAGCTTAAAATTACGAATTTGCCCTCATATATTATTTAATGATTTATTTTGCAGTAGGAAAAGGTCAAGAATTTATTTTCTTTTTGCTGTTCCCCTATTGGAACGACGCTCCACCTCCCAGACTGCCCAACCTTCTTCTCCCTTTGGCAAAGTCTCAGAAGACGACGACACTCTAGGACACCGGCGGCAATCCATGCCACCTCCGGCGGTCAAATCATCCGGTGGCGAGGCTGTTAGCATAGGATAGTAGGATTTTGGTTGGTGACCCAGAAGCTAGACCAGATTCCGAGGTATTGGAGATTGAATGAGTTGGTGCTGGTGCTAGGGGTGAAGAAACCGAGCTTGACGATGCCGCTGTAGGAAATGAGGGTCTGGCTCTAGTTGTCAGCGGTCGATCGGTTAACGACGATGGCATCAACGACAAAAGTATCAGATGGGCGATTACGGTAAGGAGAAAAGTTGAGTCTTTCATGGATGAAATGATTATCATATAGAACTTTTCACAGTTTCATTGTTTATGAGTATCTTTAGAGGAGAAACAGGGGAGTGGTTGTATTTGGTGGGAAGCGATGCAAGATGTATGGCCAAAATGTTTTGAGGAAAGGAGATGGGGTGTGACTTGTGAGTCTTTGGGGGTTGGCCCCTGCCTCAATCTGCTTCCTGCTCCAGCCGCCGGGAGGAAAAATCGGGATGCGCCGCCAGTGATTGATCGGTGGCGGAGACTTTAGGCCTAGGGGAGACGGAATTTCAGGGGAGGCGGGGCTCGTGGGAGACGGATGGTTCCGCGTTGGGTGGGGGATTTCTGTAGGGTTTGTTTTAATTTTAATTATATTGGGACTATTAATAATTAAAACTAAATTAACAGGGACAATGAAGTCATTTTCCAGCTTAGTTAACAGTCATTTAACGGAGAATTGGACAGAAGATTATATTTGTTATGTTTTAATAGTAGAAGGGTACGTTTGTGCAAAATATTAGTAGAGGGGTATATTTGTTAATTTGTGATAGTAGAGGGGTAGAAAATGCTATTAACCCTATTTTCTTTGAACAAGATTACTGTTAGGGGTTATTTAGTTTTGATGATTATTTGGTTGAGATAGTTACACTGTATGTATGATGTATCTTTTTTTTTTTATAATTTTCTGCACAAGTAATACATGTATTGTTTGCTTGAAATGACACAAACTATTACTCAAATGAGTGATAGTTAAATCTCAAATTTTTTGTGAGATTATTGAGATGGTTGGATTAGGATTGTTGAGTCTTTTTTTCTTTCAACAATGTCCCTACCTTTTACCTTTTATATAAAAACCAAAAGGTAAAAGTGGCATTTCACCCAAAAAATAATATAATTTATTGAAATACTACAATAACTATCACATAAAACAAAAGATATAAACTACGATACGCCAATTTTCTTATATACATGTGTATTATTATGCATGCATTGATAACAATGCATCAATATAACTATCACCAAAACCAAACGACCCCATAAATTTATTTTATTTTATTTTGCCAAAAGATCACTCTTATTACCGAGAAGTCACACGGTTGAAAACAACCATAAAACAAAATCTAACCCTACTAAAAAAAGAAGCATAAAAAGGATTTTTGTTGTCATCAAATGTACAACCCTATTAGTATTACAATCCCTACAAAACTACTTATTTAGATATTTGTAGTTTTCCTACTATGATTTATCGCTATTTAAATAAATAATATTAAAGTTACAGTATTTTTTATTGTGCAAATTACCGTATTATTACACCCATAATTATAATTTCTCAAATTTCACCCACCATTTTATTGTAATTTGTTTGTAAATTTGAACACCTCCCCGCTGGTTTGCAAAACCACAACGCAAAGAGTAAAGAGTTCGTCTTCACTCTTCAGCCATTGTCAAAAAATGGAAAAACGAAATTTCTGAATGCAGCAAAAAGGGAAATGGGCCGTGTGGAGAAGAAGAGGAAAGCCTGTCAAAGGGCCCCCAACACTGCAGACACAACAATTCAAGACCAACTTAACCTGTTTAACTCTGAATGTGTTTCTTTCTCTCCAGGTCTGGTTGGAAGGGAGAAACAGAGGAAAAAACAAATTCGTCGCCGATCTATGGAAACTATTTTGGCGGGAAATGACAAAGCAAACCAGGGGAGACCTGACTCCCCAAGGGCAGCGGTGGATCGCCCAGAGCCACCTCGCAGTGAATGATTATTCTTAGCTGGAACTGTAGGGGGTATGGGCAACCCCTTATAAGGAGCTACTGTAGCAGGCTTTGCCGACGTCACCGCCCGTCGTTCCTCTTCCTCATGGAGACGAAGCAGGATTCTGATTTCATGAATAATGAAAGACGAAAGACAAATTTTTCAGGATCGGAATATGTGCAACCAATGGAAGGGTGTAGTGGCCTATCTCTATGGTGGACAGCAGGGGTTGATTTTCAAGTCTTGGACTCCTGTAGCTACTATATCGATGGCATAGTTAGATGTGGTAGTCAATCTTTTTTCTGTACGTTTGTTCATGCCCCGTCCACCTCTTCGGGCCGAAGGGAATTATGGGATCACCTTAGCTCTATCCGAGACAATACGGAAGATGCTTGGCTGATTGTGGGTGACCTTAATGTAGCTGTGTGTGAATCTGAAAAGGAGGGAAGATGTCCTCTCCGTAATGAGAATGTCCAACCTTTTAAGTATTTCATCTCTCGAAATGGCCTCATCGATCTTGGCTACAATGGCCAAATGTACACATGGTCCAACCGACATCAAGGGGATGGCCTTATTAGGGAAAGGCTGGACAGAGGACTCTGTTCGACGTCCTGGAGACTTCTTTTTGAAAAAGCTACTGTTTTCCATGAAGAAATGATTCAGTCTGACCACTGCCCTGTGAGGATTGATCTTCACTTCAAAGAAAGAAGGCACAAAACCCCCTTCCGCTTTGATAAAAGATGGAGAGAATCTGAAGAATGTGGGGAAATTATTTCCAGGATTTGGAACTCAGGAGGTGATTCGGAACAAAAACTGAAAAGATGCCAACTTGAAATTAGAAAGTGGGCGAAGGATAAGAGAAATCAAAGTCTTGCCAGAGAAGGAGAAATAAAAAACAGGTTGTCTACTTTACAAGGTCCAACTAGGAGTCAGGAGAATATTGAGGAAGAAACTATCTTGATCAACGAGCTTGCGGGTATTTGGAGAGAGGAGGAGTTGTTCTGGGCTCAACGATCAAGAATTGGCTGGTTGCGCGAAGGAGATCGGAACACCTCCTTTTTTCATGCCTCTACTATTAAAAGAAGGAATGGCAACAAAATTATTCGACTGAAAGACAACGCTGGGGGATGGATAGAGGATGAGGACATTTTGAGGGAGCATTGTAGGAGCTATTTCGTGGACCTGTTCAAGAAAAGGGATCCTACAGACATGGGGGACCTAATGGCTGATTTCCCTGCTATTGTTACCTCAGAAATGAACTCTCACCTCTGCTGCCCCTTTGACAATGAGGAGATAAGAAAAGCTGTTTTCCAATTGGGTCACTCTAAAGCTCCCGGTCCGGATGGTTTCCCGGGTTTTTTCTTCAGAAAACAGTGGAATCTGCTTGGGAATGGGCTATGTGATGAAATCAGGATGTTCTTTAGTACGGGGAGAATGACGGAGGGATGGAACGATACTTTTATTACCCTGGTTCCAAAAGTCGATAATCCTGAATTTGTCTCTCAGTTCAGACCAATTTCCTGCTGTAACTTCAGGTATAAGATCATTACGAAGATCATGGCCACGAGACTACAGAGATGGTTGCCATCTTTGATCTCTGAGCTTCAATCAGCCTTCACAGGGGGACGCCAAATTCAAGACAACATTGTGATTGTTCATGAGGTGCTTAATCATTTCAAAAAACACAAGCAGGGTAATAAGAAGGATATGATGTTGAAACTGGATATGCGGAAGGCCTACGATTTGGTTGACTGGGACTGTCTCGGCTCTCTTTTGGGAAGCTATGGTTTCAGCCCGCTCTGGTGTGGTTGGGTTATGGAATGTGTCAGTACAGTGAAGTTCTCTGTGTTATTTAATGGGGAGCCTTCCATGGATTTCAAACCGACAAGAGGAATCCGACAAGGAGACCCTCTGTCTCCCCTTCTCTTTATCCTGATGTCAAATGCATTAACGTTCCTCATCGACAAAGCTGCTGCTACTAATCGTATCCAAGGATTAAAGCTCAATCGGAACTGCCCTATGCTAACCCATTGTCTTTTTGCAGATGACACGGTTATCTTCAGTAAGGCCTCCACGGAAGAGGGAACTAACATCCTGCAGATTATTAACAACTATGGTGTGATCTCAGGGCAGGAAGTGAATACCCAGAAATCCTCTGTTTTCTTCAGTGCCAATACTACAGACGAGGAGAAAGAGAGTATTCGAGTAGTCATGGGTTTCCCGGACTCTAATATTCACTCGAGCTATCTGGGTGTCCCAACGGAATGGGGTAACTCGAAAAAAGAGACATTCTCATTCCTGGTTGACAGAATGGAGAATAAAGGAGACAATTGGCAAAGCCTCTTACTCTCACCTGGGGGAAAGGAAACACTTATCAAGTCAGTTCTCCAAGCGATCCCGACCTACATTATGTTTCTTTTCCTCCTTCCGGCTACTGTCACCAACAGGATGGATGCATTGGTTAGGAGATTCTTTTGGTCAGGATCAATGCAAAGGAGAGCAATTCATTGGTGCAAAGGAGAGGTCCTACTAAAGAGGAAGGAAGAAGGAGGTCTTGGGTTCAAATCTTTCAAAGATTTTAATATCGCCCTCCTCATGAAACAATGTTGGCGGTTGCTCATCAACCCGGATTCGCTTTGGGCAAGGCTACTCAAGGCACTCTACTTCCCCCGAACTGACTTCCTTCGTGCTCGGAAGGGAGCTAAAGCGTCATGGATTTGGGCAAGTCTCTGGCAGGCTAAGGGATTTCTTGAATGGGACATTCTAAGGGTGATTGGGAATGGAGAATCCACAAATGTTTTTCATGATCCATGGGTCCAGCACCTACCGGGACAGAGGTTGGTACGAGTTAACCCACCTAATGTCAAGGTTGCAGAATGGATTGATCATTTCCACAGGGTTTGGGACGCTCAAAGACTTGCTGGCTGGACGACAGCACAGGAAAATGAAGCCATTGAAAAGATCCCGATTGGTCATGCGGAAGCACAAGATTTCTGGGCCTGGAAACCTACACCCAATGGTTTGTTCACAGTAAAATCAGCCTACCGGTCGATACACAGGAGAAACAGGAGTGGGAATGCCATCTTAGCGGAGACTTCGGACGAGGAAAGAGAGAAATGGAGGTGGCTTTGGGGCATCAATCTTCCTCCTAAACTTAAGTTCTTCTTGTGGAGATGTGCAAAGAACATTTTGGCCACGAAAGTGAAGCTCCACACCCGCAGCTGTGCGCCTTCTCCCGCCTGCCCTGTTTGCAACCAAGAACCGGAAAACCTCCACCACTGTCTCTTTGGATGTAGTTTGGCTCAGGAAGCGTGGAACACAAGCTTCCCCTCTATTGCTTCTCCTCCGCCGCTTACTAACACCCTCGACTGGTTGTTTGAGCTGAATCGTTCCCTCCCAGAAAAGACCTTACAACACATCATCTATCTATTATGGGCAATCTGGAAGGCCAGAAACGAGAAGGTTTTCAACAGTATCACCCCTTGGCCCCCACTGGTAGTGGCGAATTCACATAGAGATTTGGCCCAATGGTGTTCTATTCCGCGAAGCACTCCTCAGCAGCGGACGTCCCGTAACCAGCTTAGGGAGACTCTGAATATAGCTGGCCCACCGCCAAGTAGTTTCGATTTCGAAATTCACTGTGATGGTTCATTTAAACATGAATCCCAGGAGGCGGCATATGGTTTTGTGATTATCGATAACCATGGACAGGTATGTGATGGGGAAGCTGGTTTTGTGCAATGCTCTTCACCTATTGAAGCGGAAGCAAAGGCTCTTCAGGAAGCTGTTTGTGCAGCTCAGAGATTGAATCGTCCTGTGAAGGTTAAATCTGACTGCTCGGTGCTGGTTTCTGCGTTAACACAACATCGTGATGCTTGGCCGTGGAACTGCTACGCAAGGATTGGATTGATTGGGAAAATCTTGGAATCTTGTCCCCAAATCCGTGTTTGTTTCCAGCCGCGAAAACGCAACTTCCTAGCAGATTGGGTTGCAAGATCTGTTATTGATGGGAGTCTCCCACTTGATTGGATCACTGTCGTTAACCTTCTTTTTCCATTTCTTGCCTGAGGCTACTGTAACCGCTACTCTTTTACAATGAAATGCACACATATTTGCCTTGTCAAAAAAAAAAAAAAGGGAAATGGGGGAAGCGACATACGCATGCTCTGCATGGCGTTCGTACGGACTACAGAGTGTCAAGGATCTTTGCTGGCGTACTTGCAACTTGATATGAATCCCTCTTCCGTCATTGGAATTTTTCATCATGCCTCGAGACTGCAGTTCTAATTCCTATTTCAGATCGATTTAAATAGCGATAACCAATTAGAGATACGGGGTGATCTAGGTCAGCTTCTAAGTCTCCTTTCCTCCTCCTACTTGCAATTTTTGAAGATTATGCTACATGATTTGTCCCTCGATTCTTGATTACAGGTTTTGAAGCTTTGCAAGGAACAGCAGCATTTTGCAAAGGTTGCTAGACAGCTCAACCACCAGCAAACAAGCTCGGAAGACCTGGATATTGTGGTATTTCGTTTCTGCTCTGTTGTAGTAATTAGTTTCTTCTTGCCCTTTTAACTTCAGCCGTGAATTGTTTTTCATGACCTTATGTCTGTGGTTCTGTGCTTTCTGGTTGCGTCACCTGCCCTGATTTTGACTGTCAATTATGGTGGGCACTTAGGTCTTAATCATTTGTTGGTTCAATTGCTCAATTATCATCATCAGTCAAACCACAATTCTAGGGTTTTCGGTTACTTTTACTAATGTCTATCATTGCCTGACCCATGGGATTAAGAAGAATCACAGGATTATCTACACGTCTTCGACGCGTAATTGTTGAAGTTTAAACCGGCTTTATCTCTTGTCTAATCATAGTTGAGTGCTTCACTTAAGTTAAAAAGGTGAGTTGTGTTGCTTCTTTTCTGTTTGACCGTTTACTGCCTATCACTATCAATTGTTCCAGCTTACCTATTGATTCCCAATTAGTTACTTCTTTCTCTACTTGGTCCTGCCCATCTTCCTGGCCTTATGGCAGCCCCCTTTATCCTGTGAATTTGTTGTTGATGCATCGAATGGAAGCCATTAGAGTAAAAAAGTGACTTTTTGGCTTTGAGAACAATTCCTGCCTCAAAACAAATGTTCAGAGAACAGTTCTACAGAATAGTTGGAGGACAATGTCCAAACACTTTATGCTTTTCCTCCTTTACCAGCAACATGAGATGTCCTTGTTACATCCGTATCTTATATGCTTATTCCGGTATCAATATGCCTAAGTTAGGATTATGAGATCCAAGTATGACAGAAGGTCTGACCATCCATTAACTGGGAGGAAAAATTCATCAAAATCTTCAGACCTTGGTCCCCAGCCTACATCTAACATTATTTCTCCGTTGAAAGACGAGAGAACTCTTCAAAGTGTCTTTCTTCTAGAAGCAAAGCATTGCTAAATTCACCTCAACTGTACTCGATGAAGTGCAAAGTATGCAATGAGTCGATAACCTACCAACATCAAGGCCATAACACACACATCCATCCACAAATTGTTCAGCCCCATTGATTTGATCGCAGGATAATCTCCAACCCGGCACAGGACTCCCTTGGAACACTCATAGTAATCATCTTCTTTGTATTGGACTCCAAGTAGAAGCTTGTAGCAGTAGTAGCTGTAGCTCAAGTACTTAAGCCAAACAATGAATGGAGGTATTTGTTGCACGTAGTAACCACCAGCAATGAGGAAGACCAGAGTTGTAACTGATGCCAGTGTCGTGGCTTGTTTTATCTCCATAACAATAGCACCAATGGCTAATCCTAGACTTTGGGAGACCAGGACACTGTAGAGAACCACAATCAGGGACAGCACGAAAGTTATGGGATCAGGTTTAAGCCCACCCATCCAATAGATTATGAAAACAAATGCTGTAGGGAGTGCAAGGTCCAATGGCAGGTCTCCGAAGGTTCTGGCTAGAAAGTAGGACGAGAGATGATACATTCCAGATGCCCGCTCCTTGATCAACATTCTCCTTTCTTGGGGAAATGTGAAAACTGCATTGTAGAGAGGGTAGAAGCCCCAAAATACCGAGAAGAAGAACAGCAATGCCGTCTGCATATGAAGGCAAACACACATCAGTATATAAGAGAAACTACAACCATAAGTTTATAAATCCCAGCTATCAGCGTGCAACTAGAGTTATATGGCTGGGGCTCCAAGCTTCACTAAAAGTATATGAATATTGATACATTATTGAAGTTCAAAGCATTCTATTGAACCTCAGTCAATGGTAGCAATCATAAGATGTACTAAATTGTATGCTGTAGAGTGAATTCTTACTCGGTCCCCAATGTGAGATGTCGGGGTTTGCCACCAGAGGAGCCCGCCAAGTACTGCAACACTGATGACTTGGAAAATTCTCAGCCTGTTGAATGATTCAAACCGCCGCTCCCTCAAGCCCCTCTGAAATAGCACCTTGAACTGATGCCACCAGCTTGTAGACCACTCCTCTGAATTGGTATTTTTTCCTATACATTTTATACGTGGTTGAATCTTAGAATCCCACTAGAGAGAGGTTGAATTTTGAGACAGGGGATACAAAATACTTTATACTTACTTGCAGGGGTATCTTTTATGTGGCTGAACCTATTGACATCCAGGTTGCAAAGCTCCGCTTTTAGAGTTGTTGAAATGTTCCTCTCGTAAGCAGAAATTAGAGTTTCCTTCACCAGCTTCTGTTCCTTTTCCATGTTCTCACCTTGCTCACCTCCATTCCTATCAGGAGCAATACCTGCAATTTAGTTCCAAGTGTAAGATCCTTTGTAATTGACAAAGATTTTTTTTATAAGAATAGGAAAAAATCAAGCTAGGAATTACCATGCTATGGATAAAAGTAAGTAGAGAAGGAAATAGAACACTTCAAAAATTACCATTGGCGAGATCAAGTAAGAGATCAGATGGATTGACAGTCATGGATGTTGAGAAACCGACGGAGGAGAAGTATTCCAAGGCAGCAGAGGCAGGACCATAATAGATTGGAGATCCCTCAGAGAGCAAAACTACCTTATCAAACATGTGGTACAATCGGCTTGAAGGCTGGTGAATGGTGGTAACTACTGTTCTTCCCCCTTCAGCTAACCTTTTGATCGTTGTAAGAATTCGCTGAGCTGTGGTTGAGTCCAAACCTGATGTAGGCTCATCTAGTAGTAGTAAGCTCGGGTTGATTAGCATCTCTTGTCCTATGCTCACCCTCTTCTTCTCTCCTCCTGATATTCCTCTAAACAGTGGGCCACCTATCATGCTGTTTCTGCAGCGAGTCAATCCCAACTCAATGATCACCTGTTCTACATGCTGGGCTTTCTCTTCCCAAGTTAAGGTTTTGGGAAGCCTTAACAGTGCAGTGAACATGAGAGTTTCATTCACAGTTAGATGTGGGTACAAAACATCATCTTGGGCTACAAACCCTGTGCGTCGCTTTATGACGCCAGAAAACGGCTGCCCGTTGTATGTGATCTTTCCTGACAATTTACCATTGAGCCGGCCTCCGAGGGCTGTGAGGAGGGTGGTTTTACCACTGCCTGATGGGCCTAACATAGCTAGGATCTCTCCAGGGCAAACCATTCCTGAAATCCCGTTCAGTATAGTTTTCTCTTTACCGTTCCATGTACCTCCCCAGCATGATCCTTTCTCTTCCCGTTTAACTTTGTAGACCACCTCCTCAAACTGCAAAACGTAAGCAAGGAGATTTTGCATAAATCTCAAGTGATACTCCAAAGAAGTTAACTTTGTTGAGAAAGTTCTATCTGAATTTGTTTTGATCTGTGATTAGTCCTTGTAGCAAGTAAGAGAGATAATAATATGATGTATTTGAATTTAGGTGAGAGAGAGAGTGGGAGTGACCTTCAAAGCTATGGGAAATACTCTGAGTTGGATGACAGATTGTGTCTCAGGTGGTAGTGGGTAGGCAATCACAGCCACATTACTTGGTTCATTCTTCCCTGACAGACTTTCTCCTGGGGCTTTGCTCTCATACTCTGGTTTTGGTGCAACACAGTTGACAGGCATGGTACTGATAATTGTTATAGATGGTTTCTATGAGCAAGAGAAGAAGTTGACGAAGTTGTTTAACTTGGCTCCTAAACTGAACTGGGGCGCCCAAATATATAGTGGAGGGTACAAATCATGCTAAGTCTGATGTAGGTGGGACCCTCATTGCTTTTTTTTTTTCTTTCTGAAAATATTCTGTCACTAACTCTTAGTTATATTTATTTCCATCTCTTCATGAGTTCACTTTAATTCCATCTTCTTTCTCTACCTGACATACAGTACACATCTGGCCATGGTGGCACATAAAGCATTCAGAGCTACTTGCTTTTAGACTTCTGTGACTGGAAATGAGGCATGCCACTATGCCAGTGTTTATTTTTAGGAAGTGAGAAATTAAGCATGCCATTGATAGAGGATCGATCGTCTGTAGGAATCTATCCCTATGCACAGCAATGCTTTTTCTTTCTTTCCGTTTGGAAATATCATACCTCCACAATGAGGCAAATCAGTGTGCTGCAATACACTGCCGATTTGGTGTCACAAGTCACCTTTGGTGGATGTTTACCTTTGTTTTTTAGCTGCTTCTGATGCACATGCGTGCTTCACAAATAGTTTTTTGGGTGCTTGTAAAATTGAAAAAAAGGAGTTATTTTAGGTACTGCCTGCTAGACAAATGATGCTGCTCGCCACTGCTTCACACAAAATTACGTAAGATTGTGAAGCAAGTGGGAACTCGCAATGGCTGTGTATTTCAGCACCTCAAGGTTTTGGAGGTCATCAGGTCATGACAAACAACACATGCTTTGCATCTGAATCCTGCATGTTATTATGTGAATCCAAGTTAAAGTTGCCAATGTTTGTGGTGCGTATCAGTTTACACAAAACTTCTTATGTGGGGTTTCGCTGTTAATAAACGTACCTGTCGTGCAGGGATGATTTGTGCATCACATCAGTCCTTTTTGCAAATGGCCTCATGCTTTGGAGATTTGGTTGCCGAGAATCTGTATCATATCTCCCTATGTCGTTCTCGACCTGCAGTCTTATTCAGGTAATCCTTTGATTTTGCGTCAAATGTATTGGATTCCACTCCTTTAAAAAATTCATAAAAAATCAAATATGACCAATTTGTGAATTATAGTATAAGTGATCTTCGCTTTGAGGGAATCGTGTTCGACCGTGCTTAAGTAGAGTATTAAATTTCTGGCATGACAAAAACAAACGTTTATCTTACATTGTCAAAAAGTCTGGCTGCATTATATTCTTCCATTTAGGTGGCTTCTTGAATGCTTTCAATCTCCCAATTCGTATTTCGTTCATAAGAGGGAAAGTTTAATGTCACAGTTGATTTCTATATCATCAAACATAAAAGTAGATTCAAAAGGAAGACTCATCTTCTTTTATCTTTTTTGAGCTCTAAGCATATTATTATTTTCTCTTGCTTCACAGAACTTATCAGTTCGTGCACTCAAAAGTTCCTTTATGAAACTCATGTACAATTTCATGAAAGCAACCCTTAGAGCTAAGGGAAGTTGAGTTATTTTCACATGTTTTCTCTCAGTAGTCCAAGGACAGTGACATGACCCATCTCATGTCATGTATTAATTTTCGATTTTCGGGACCATTTCAAGTCATTCACAGAACTTGAGAAAAGAGAGGCGAATCCCCTGGTTTTCTGCACATCTACTGTCGTTCTGTACATGAGTTTCTCACTTGAAACTTCCATCCTTTTGTTCTTTGTTCTGATTCCTCCTATGTAGGATATATATTTATATAATGCTGCGCCAAGTTAAATTATACAGCAAAAATGCCATTATAGCCCATTCATACTCTGTTAACCATGAAAGTCGCGTTGTCTCTACGAATGTGAGGTATATCCTTGCTTTAACAGGAGGATTTTTCTCTCATCTTTATACCTTATCTCACAGCACACAAGTTATGAGCATATGAACAAATAATCAAGTAGGGGCCTGGGGGATTTGCCAAAATTAGAAGTAAAAGGGTGGACGAGGGGTTGCTTTCCTTTGTATAGTGAAGCCATTAGCTGACATATTCTTATATTCCTTCTAAAAGTTTGTGTCTTTCGAGTTCTAGCGTTCCAGTACTGTAGTTTTCACTTTTCAACATTCGTATCACCGAAATTAGATATGAGTAGCATTGCATGCCTATGTATATTAATAATCAATAAGAAGATAGAGAAGAAAAATGAAAGTGGAGATAGGGAGAGGGGAGTTAGATGCTATAAGCATAAATCTTAGACGTATTATTCCCTCCTTTATCTCTCACCTCCTTTGCACTTGATTATTTTCATATTTTGTATATGAGAGTGAAATGATTAAAAGGAGAACCCATCACTTGGATTCCAATTTCAGTCCAATTCAAAAATAAAAACAAAAATTATCGAAGTATCATTTGTTGCAGAGCATTGACACAAGAAGTGTGGTTGTGCATGGGACCCTTTTGATCATTCTTTGTTTTATAGAACTTGTGAGTCATCTATGGCCTATGGGGGCTACTTGGAGTCCCTTTGGGTGCGCATAATATATGAGTGCTTGGCTTCTTTCTATCCTACCCTCCACCTCAAGTTGCATTATATATCTCTGTGTGTGTTATTTAATATAAGCATTCTGGGAGTGATTTCGGTTCCACTAGGGCATGCCAGACCACCCACCCCACTCTCTGCTTTATGTTTGGTTCAATTTTTCTCTCATTTGTTTTTGGCCCGATTAAAATCGTATTTACTCTTGTCATTCTTTGAATTCTAATTTCCCTTATAGCTCCAGATTCCTGTCTGGTATTGATTCGCTTTGCTTTTTATCGCCACACAGTTTCTGTGATGCCATTTAACAGTTAAAGTGTTCTCCGTGTAGGAGTAAGATGACGAGGTTTGAAATTCCACTTCATTATCTTATATATAATATTAGATATATTCAACTATCATTACCAATCATTGAGCATTGGCTGCTCACAATTCTTATTCTTTGTGCTCAGTTGACTGATTAACTTAATCTTGAATCAGGTAATAGTATTCTTGTGTGTCATTGCGGTACTGGAGAACAATGATTCCTTTTGCATTTTTGCTTAATTGTTTTCATTGCGCTCTCTTGTTGAAATGTTGTCGTGGCTTTCGAACGTCTACTCTTGAATGAGCCATGAAACGATTGTGAGCTTTATCTGATCTTGAATTGTCTAGCCATTTCTGCACAAATGAAAAAAGGAACTCAGCGATCATAGGGTTTTTTTTATAACTTTCTATATGATAATAACTCAAGCAGAAAGTCTTATCTAGGTTGCTGAGCTCAAGGCTGGAACGTACACGTAGATTTGTTGTGTTTATTGATACTATGATTACGTTTGGACCTTGATAGATGATAGGTGATACTGCAGTCTGCACATCAAGGTTTGAACATAGGCTGAGTATAACAGTATGAAATCAGGTAAATCCTCGGTTGACTATCACTTATCTTGTTTGGATCTCCCCTCGATCAAGGGGTATCACCTATTATCGATCTATATATCCACTATCTAGTCTGTTTTCTGGATAGTTGTTGACAGGAAACTGCAAGGATTTACGAGATGATCCTTGGTCATTGATAGAACTCGAGTAGAGCTCTACCGGTGTTTAGGGATTTGGGATCAATTAGGGATTGATCCGAGGTTTCAGAAAGAACTAAGGGAAAGGGAATTGGGATTTGTGAAAATGAAAGAGGGAGGGAGAATGGCGGCTGTCGCCAGCCGAGGGAAAGGAAGAGGGGAGGGAGCAAGAAGCTGCTGTGCGCAGCAGAGAGGGAAGAGAGGGAGGTGGGGTCGGCTGCCAAGAGAGAAGGGAAATTAGGATTCTTGATTAATCAACTTCTTAACCCTAATTCTAGTTACAATAGTTTATATAGAAAATAACTAATTTCCTACTACTACCCAATCTATTAATTATTCCCGAATAGCCCTCATAATCCGAATAATAATAAACCGACAATTAACCAAGTACTAAAAATATAAGTTTCTATCATCCCCGCTTCCTTCGAAAATCAACCTTGTCCCCAAGGTTGATCCTCTAGCTCACTAGGTCTCCTCTTCATCATTCCCAGCATCCTCAGCATAGTCCTCTGCGTCATCCTCCCATCGTCCCACCAGCATCATCAAGTCTTCCTTGGGGCACTGATGCCCAATGGTGAATCGGCCATCACACTTGAAGCACTTGCCTTCACGCCTCTTCTGATCAATCTCAGCCGGTGACAGCCGCGCGAAGCCCTTAGGTATGGCCCGCGGCCCCATCCTGGCTACCGGAGCGGGGCCTCCACTGCCCGTGTTAGTCCCGGTCAGCCCTGCCCCCGCCGCTCCTCCTGCGCCTCCACTACTCCCACTGCTCGCCTTCGGAAATCGGCCAATGGCGCCCCTCCAACTAGCGAGCTCTTCCTCCTTATGACCTGCAAGACGAAAAGCCGCCTTCAGAGAGTCAGGCTCGAAAACCCGGACTGCCGCTGCTATCTCGGGCTTGAGACCCGCCATGCACAGCCCCACCAGGGTGTCCTCTGGGACTCCCTTACACTGGTTTCCTAACTTGAAAAACTCTGCCCGGTATTCAGCCACCGTGCCGGTCTGCTTCAGTTTTGCCAACTGCTCGGGCGCCCACCCTTCTGACTTTCCGAACTGATAACGGAGCTCTTCCTGAAACATAGGCCAGGTGATCGGGGTGGCTGCAGCGGCATAAGACCGTTCCATCCACTCCCACCACTGGAGCGCATCTCCCTCCAGATAAAACGACGCCAGATAGGCCTTTCTCTCCTCCGGGACCGGATGATTTCTAAACCATCTCTCTGCTGCATACAACCAAAGACCTGCATCCTCTTGCCCATTGAATTTGGGAAACTCAATGGTCGGAGGCTTAGCTCGAAAAACCACTCCATCCATTCCTTCATAATTCATGTAGTGGGGCCCATACCTGTCAATTCCTGGAGTTCTCCACGGCTGTCCGAAAGAAGAGCCCGGCATCCGATTCGGATTCTCATAGCCATAGGCACCCGGATAGTTGCCCTGCAGGTTTGGGTACCCTCCTGGCCCGTGAGGCGCCCCGTACGGAATCTCCCAGCTGGCTGGTTCCTGATAGTCCACCCTCCTGTACTGCTGGGCC